AGCTGTATTTATAGAGCACCTGGAGCCAGCATAGAAAAATTTAATGACTGGATGGAAGAAAATTACTTGACAATAAGTCATAAATTAATGTTCATATGTGGTGACTTCAATATAGATTTGTTAAATCCTAACAAGCACACAGGAACTGAGGAGTTTATTAACACAATATATAGATGCAGTTTATACCCAAAAATTACAAAACCAAGTAGAGTAACAACCCAGCATGCAACACTAATAGATAATATATTTACCAATGTTATTGACAGCAAAATGACAAGTGGATTACTTATAAATGATATTAGTGATCATCTACCAGTATTTGTGGTACTGCCATTTCCACTATACCATGATGTCCTGCCATTTCCACTATACCTGGGTACAGCCATTCCTTGAAATCTTTTGCTGTTTTTCTGGACTTTGTTTTCACCTCTGTTTTCACTGAGCACTCTGTGCCTTTGCCCTCATCTTGGCTGGGCGCCCACTTCTGTGGAAAGCAGCCACAGAACGCGGCCATCTCCGTGTGCACACACTTTGTCAGACTGTGGACTGATGAATATCTAAACTCTCTGAGATTCAGTTGTTACCATTTCCAGCTTCCTGCAAATCAACAATTCTTGATTGTATGTCTTCTGAGATTTCATGGTTCACAGCAGCAGATTCCCAGTCTGGGTTCACAGACTGGACCCCAGGCTTGTTAAGTCCTGACTCCACTTCTGTTCATGTCATTAGCAGTTCACATACATTTCCATCCTACTACTATTTTATGAGAAATACAGTATATAAATGTAAATAATTCCAAAGGGTTCACCTACTTTTTCTTGCCACTTTTTGTCTTGTTTGCATTTGTTTTTATCTTGGGTTTATTGAGTTCTTTCAGATGCTTGGTTAAGGATACAATGTAGGCACAAAGAAAGAGTTTAAACCAGGGAGCAGAGTCGCACTCACCTTCCTTTTTTTCTCTATATTCACTATGTTGGGCAACTTCAAGCCTAATGCTTCCTCAAGTTCTGGAAACAGACACAATAACATGACTCAGATCTGTCATTACACACCTAGATTCTTTTAAATGATGAACAAAGCAGAAGGCCAACACAACAGAGCACAAAGAAATGGGGAAATATGAAGTACCCGTGAGAATATGGTCGATTTTCTCCACCACCAGGTCAGCGTCCTTCGTAGTGAAGCACATGGGGGGTTTAAACTTGAGCACATTGCGATGAGGTCCGTCAGCACTAAGAATGATGTGCTCTTCCTTTAGTCTGAGACAAAATGTGAAATAGTTCACGCTTTGTAACAATTCACAGGCTTACATAATCAACCAGGCTAGAGGAATTATTAACTAATTTGTAATGATCAGGTTTATTGGTGATCTCAAGACTGTTTGATCCCATTAATAGATCCAGAATTGCTGTTATATAATTTGGACAAAAGTGCATGCGATACTGTTTTTACTGTCTCACTTTATTATCCCGGTGTAATTTGATAAGGCTCCTGTCTGATATGAGACTAGGGCTCTTCACACTGTACCATAACTATCACAACACTGATGGGACTTTGATCACTGACGCTGGGGGTGAAGTATGACATCACAGTGGAAGCAGAACTGTAGTTTTCACCACAGAAAATAGTGCTGAGCAAAAGTCTCTCCTGGTTAAACCACTGCATGTATTTCTGTTTGCTAATATGACATCAGCATTTAATGGGCTCTCACACTTACTTATATATGACTTCTAGAGCCTCTGCTGTAGCAGGAGTTAGCTTCGACCTGTCCCTCACGAGCTCCACTCCTACAAAGAGGCCACGACCCCTGCAGGATGCGCACACACATCTGTTAACTTCTCAGAAATGTTGCACAGAGTTGTTTGGGATATTTTTGCACAGGATGTCTTCTTTTCCAAATCATTGTAATATACATCAAAAATGAAACCTTTAAAGTTCAGCTTTGCCACCTTTGCATAGTAATATTTCTCTTCATAAATGTGACAAGGTTGTTAAAATATAATGGCAGCTGTAAGTCCAAGGTAAACACGTCTCAGATTTGCCCATAATGTTTAATAACTGACAGTGTAGTATCTCACTGGATGAACAGCTGAAGCCAAAGATACATGGTTTCATTGTCATGTCATTGAAGGTGGTCCAGGATTTACAGGAACACGACTTGAAAATATTCTGGTGATAAAAACTCTGGTCAGATATAGTCAGTAATGTTAAGGATCAGCTTGCATGTACTGAACCCAGCAGCTGTTGCACATCTGTAACCTTTCTGTGTGTGTGTGTCTGTTTATTTTACCTGACATCTCCAACCAGCAGATGTTTCTCTTTCAGCTTTTCCAGCAGATTGGTCAGGTATCGCCCCACACGTAGTGAATTTCCCTGCAGATCCTCTTTCATGATAACGTCTAGGACGGCCAGACCGATGGCACACGACACTGGGTTACCGCCAAACTGAGAGATTCAAAACCCACACACAGAGGAAAGGTTACACCAAAGTTAGGCTCATGACATGCAGGAAAACCGCTGCTGGGTCACAGGGAGACTATGCATCCAGAGAACAGTACATATATTACAGACTTACAGTATCAAATCACTATCGTTTATGCTGTACTGATAACAGACTAGAGGACAAGTAACTGCTCGAACACACTCAACTACTGTATTTCAGTGTGTGACTGGAAAAGTTCTAAACTGCAGGAAACAGAAAAAATACATTCAATGTGACAAGAAAGACCTCTGACTTTTCTTTCACAGGAAATAAATGTACCTTGAGACTGTCAGCAGAAAAAAAATGGCTTAAACAGAAGATATTTTCCCCCTAATGTAGAAAACAGGTCTGTAAATATATGCTTGGTAAATATGGACTAGAACTTTATGCCAAGGATAAGGTCAGGTCAGTGCCATGTCTGGTCGATTCCAGACCAAAACCAAAGATCATACACATATACAAAGATCATCTGTGGTCTGCCTATTCTTAATAACTAAATGATCATTTACACATTAAAATAACTTTTCATCAAATTACTTGCACTAGACTTAGATTTCAGCTGAATGCTCTTACTGTATTGAAATACTCCATTCCAGATGCCATGAAGGCCTGTGCCACCTCTTTGCTGGTCACCACACATGACATGGGGTGACCATTACCAATAGGCTTTCCCATGGTGACAATGTCAGGCACAAAGTCCTCTCCCTGAAGCTGGAAGGCCCAGAAGCTGGTGCCAACACGCCCGAAGCCCACCTGGACCTCATCGGCGATGAAAACGCCCCCTGCCTTACGAACGTGTCTGCATTAGGGCAGAAAAACCCACAGGTGTAGAGGCATGCACTCACAGAAGTGCAGCAAGCCCAATGACTGAAGAAGTCTGCCAAGTTTGTCTATAACACTGACAGCTGCCACTGCTGGGGTACTTTTTCTGCAGTACTCATGTGTGCTGTTTGTGACCCGATTCTAGTAAAATAAAATAAAAAACCTTCAGGCCATCGAGTGTGATCATCAATCAATCTCTGCAGTCTCTTGGGTACATACTCTGCCACTTGCTGGAAGTAGCCCACAGGGGGAATGACCTGCCCACCACAGCTCTGCAGTGACTCAGCGATAAAAGCAGCAATCTGTGCAAGAAGAAGAACATATCGGGTCTATCAGTCGAAAGATAAAGTGAAAAAGAGGAGGAGTAATGGCATGTTTGACCTAAGGTGCACCCTCTTTCATAAGTACATTTAACCTTTCAGTCAGCTGTGCACAACCAAGGTAGACACTGAAATGAATGCCAAAGGAGGTCAATATGGAGAAAAACCTTTGACCAATGGACACGATTATGTTTTATAAGAGGGTGCAATGATTAATCATATACTGAAGGCATTCTGTTTTGAACATATGATTCAAAGCCAGCAAGCTTGGACACTAAGGGTCCTCTACACTTGTGACATGTAGTCTCATCAGTACATGTAGGGCTTTGCTAAAAACATTTGAGATTATTTCTGCAGAGTAAATCTGGTAACCCAGTGATATCGACCACAGACTGTACCTTGCCTCCTTTCTCATGGACCCTGTCTATTATATCTTTGACTTCATCTGCATATGCTGTAGCAGGATCAGGATGGTCTGCTCTGTATTTGCCTCTGTACACATCTGGACTCGGAGCCTGTTTAGGAGACAGCAAGTTGAGGTGATGACTAACAGATTCACAGACAAAATCCCAGTTCTAAAAATGTGAACAATAAAATATACAAAAGTGCCAGTGTTTGCATGGTACTCTGATGATATTTGACAGTGGAGGTGCCACTCAGAGCCAGACACAGCTCGTTTCCTTTGTGTGTCTGATTGTGATTAAATGATTGAAGCTGATCAAACTGGTTGAACTGTCACTCTTTAGCATGTAACACTGGGTATTCCACAAGGTGCCATATAAAATTAAACTAATGGCATCAAGGAACAACAGAGCAGAAGTCACAGAGTGCATCAAGGAATCTGAACGTTGATTTTGATCTTATCATTTTTGCTATGATGCATCTGTGCTATTCTCAGATGAGCTTATGACAAAACATTGAGACTGGACCGTAGTGTGTCTCTTACACCAACGGTAAAATGCTTCCCTTCAAAAGTACTTTGGGTATGCCTTTGTACACTGAATTTGTAACAAACAGAACTTGCATTTCATTCTTCTGTCTCTCACTGTCTGTTCTTTTTTATGCACACATCCATGACCGTGTCCCTGTGTGTCCTCGTGCATGCACAGGTGTAGCCTGCCAAAGCCCAGCAGAGCAAGCTGAGTCATGGCGTTTTAATAGTGTGCAGGCAGGTGAACAGAGGGAGGAAAAACACTCACCACATGGACAAATTGATTCTGCTCAGCACCCGACAGCTGGTGGAACTTGTATGGACTGATGTCAATGAGGGAGGAGATGTGGCCATGGTATGCACTGCAAACAAAGACAGCGGGTCACAGACCAGATGGAAGGTGCAATTCTTAAAACATAGATATGTTAAAACAATTATTTTCATTGTATAAAACTACTGTATATCACAAAAAAGACCCAATTAAAGGAACTTTGACCAATTACATGTTGGCTGTCTGGCACAGCACCTAGCGGTGGCCCTTACTTTTCCAGGGTGATGATGTCTTTGTGGCCTGTGTACTGTCGACCAGTCGCAGCGCCAGGTCGTTGGCTTCAGAGCTGAAGTTCAAAGTGGAAAAGTGGGTTACTCCGAGTTACTCAGTCACTATAAAATACACAGGCCAAGCCATGGAGGTCGCTCACATGTTGGGCACAGTTTGATGTTTTACTTAGGGACATTGGAGGTGACCAAAATCTATTAATAATAGTTATAGTAATAATAATAATTAGAGCTCGAAGCTTAAATTTGCAAAGTATTATTGAAATATTTTTGTTGTTCTGTAGGTAGGTTTGTAGCCGATGTTCAGCTGATTAATATTACGACCTGACCCAAACTACGTCGCTTCCATTTTCACACTATTTAAACTCACTGAACCCACCATACTTCTGCTTCCTGTTACCCGCCCATTTCTTTTTCCCACCTCCTTTTTTAATTCTGATCTTTTCCCCTCTATTCGTCTTTGCCTGCTGGGGATCTGCCAGTGCCCGAAAGCAGCACAGACCTCCTTAACCTTCCCCAAAACTATCAGCTGCACAAGCTACCAAGTATAAACAAGATTTCCATACCCTTCTACCCAGTGAGGGCAGGCCCCATCAAGTGAACAAGTATTAACAAACCTGCATCAGTCTTACCCATGGAATTATGCTGTAAAATACCACAGCTCTGGGGCCCAAAGCAAGAAAACACAGGCCCTGACTTCACATACTTGTGCACGTGTCATTTGGTTTACCATCTTGTCTTCAGTGTGATCTCAAACATAAGTACACTGGTTGTACAGAAGCCTGGCAATGTAACTTCTCTGTTGTGCCATATTTATAACTTCCTTCAAGGCATTTATTTCCCTGTGAGTGATGCATAATCTGCCAGTTCTCTTCAGATTATTAACTAAGAGAGCTAATGTTCCATTATCATTTCTGAGATGAATCACCAGAGAGATCAGGTCTGTGAGTTAATTTAAATTCCTTCCTAAAACTTTTTAAACAACTTAACTGGGTAATCTTACAATGTTTTGTTTTTGTCTAAAGTGCAGGTGGACATGCATATGTACCCAGAGTTGACAAAGTAGCACACAGACAGCCTGTCAGGCAGCGTGGCCTGCAGCCTCTGGGCGTACAGTACAAGGTTGTCATGCAAGAAACGTGAGTTGGTGTTGAGTAGTTCCATCTGCTGAGCTCCAGCCTTAACCACATCTGGGTGACAGTGGCCCACTGAGAAGCAGAAGAAAGGATGTTCAGGGGAAAAACACTTTATAGTGAATCCTCATCAAACATACCATGGAAACCAGTGGTATGTTTACAGTAAGTAGCAAAACAACTCCCAGCATCAGAACAACGTACTAAAAGTGCTTATTATGCAGAATGGAACATTTCACATTCCTTTATATCTGATTATTGTATTATAATCACTGATGTGTTATTGTGTACATCACACTTAATGTTGCAGCTGGTGAAGGGAGAGATACAGTGAGGAACAGAAGTATTTTGAAACCCCTGCGTTTTGCAAGTTCTCCCACTTAGAAATCATGGAGGGGTCTGAAATTCACATTGTAGGTGCATTCCCACTCTGAGAGACAGAATTAAAAAAAAA